AAGTAGCTGCCCCTTTAACATTCCTCAGTTCTACCCACAAAGCCTCGCTTGAGGACCCTTCCAAGATATCATCTCTCCTTATTGCAGTAATTGACTCCATAATTAATAGTGCTACACCACCACCCTTTTCACACCCTCCTGTGTCTCACCTAAAGATCTCATAGCCCAGAATGCTGAGTTGCCAGTCAAGCCTTTCCCTCAATCATGTTTCTGTGATGGTAACAATATCCTATTTCCATGTGTCAATCCACGCCATTAACTCATCAGTCTTACCTATTACACTCCTAGCATTAAAGACTATCCAGCCTTGCCTTACTCTCTTGACATTCAACATAGTTGGACTCACTGTGACTTGATTGGGATTCATTTCCAGACTTCTGACATTGCTGTCTTTTTCCTTCCTAGGTACATTTATTACTTCAGCGGCCTGTTGTCTGGAGCAATCAAAATGAACAGCATGCCCCTGTTCCTCCATCATGTCGTTATCCCTGCTATTCCGAGCTTCGAGCCTCACGGAGGTAATTGCATTCAGCCAGGTGTACTCAAATGTATCTCTGTACTGTACTGGTATCTGCACCATTTTACGAGCATATGAGATCATTTTAATTGGGAGACTACCAATTCTGCCTCCCCATTCCCTTCCCCGCTCACTTCAGTGAGTCAAAATCCAATTTAATATGGCTCTTCATGTGTGAACTTCATCTGGAAGCTATGGAAGGGCCAACAACACGCAGTTGCACTAAAGGGCAAACTTAAAGAAGGTTACATACCTGATCTGGCTACGAGGTGGCCATCCAGAATGTGTAAGGGGGTGAACAAGAGCACAGAGCTAAGTGGGAAGAGCTGTCAGCTAAAGTGAACAGCAGACATTTGGCAGGAAGTATAATGTGGGAAAATGTGAACTTGTTCATTTTGGTTGGAAGAATAGGAAAGTATTTTAGCTAAATAGAGTGAGATTGCAAAACCTTCAAGACACTCAGGGATGCACGTGTCCTGGTACATGAATCACAGAAATTTAGAATACAAGTACAGCAAGTGAGTAGGGAGGCAAATGGAATGTTGTTGTTTATTGCAAGGGGAATTGAATATAACTGTGGGGATGTTTTGCTGTAGTTGTATACAGAATTCTGAGGTCACACCTGGCATACTGCACAAAGTTTTGGTTTCTTTATTTAAGAAAGGATATAAATGCCTTAGACGCAGTTCAGAGAAGGTTCGCTCATCTGATACCTGCAGTGAGTGGTTACCTTTGAGGAAAGGTTGGACAGGCTGAGCACATTGGAGTTCAGAAAGACCCTGAGTATCCTATGCACACTTCGTCTAAGTGGCACAGAGCAGAAAGAGAACTTACGCCATTCTGAAGCAACAGGAAGCAGCTAGTTGTCTAAAGATGGCGTAGCCTGAATGTAAAATAAAGCAGCCCACATGACTAAATAAAAAGAGAGAATTTTATTCCTATTTTCTCCTAGCAGCTTGCCTTTCTGTCCCATGACCCCTGCAGCCTCCCAACCTTACTCCAGCCTTCCCATTACCCCCATGCGAAAAGGAGGCTGGCTCCTGGTGCAGGCCTCCCTACTCCCATCTGGCCTTTGTCCAACTGGGACCTAAGCCTTTATCTCACCACCCCAATCCTTCCTCAGCCATGTGTGCTCTGGTGATGATGTCACCATGCACAACACACAGTGACATCATTGATGTATGTGCAGACACTTCTTGCAGCCTGTCTTTTCATGGCCAGGTGACATATCTGGCCACATCTTCGCCTCTAAGGCAACCATTTTGAATTATAGAGAATCACTCCATTAGAAGAATGAGAGGAGGTCTTATTAGAACAGGTATATCCTGATAGAACTTGACAGGGTGGATACTGAAAAGATCTTTCTTCTTGTGAGAGAGACTGAAAATCGGAGACAATCCAAAA